ACAAGTTTGCTCACTCACAGTAACACGAAGCAGCAGCAGACACCACTGCTAGGAACAGGGCAGACCCCAGGGTCCCTGTTCTGTAGCTTAAGCTGTCCTTTGAAGTCAACGCGACTTACTAAAACCACTATGAAAATACTCCGTAAAGCAGATCTGATGACACCAGAGCAAGGAAAGGATAGCCACATCCTACAGAAACACCTTTTTCTCCTTGAACGGAGGCAGCTGGAGTTTAAGGGAGAAAAACGCTGCCCACGGTTCACTCCACTGGACTGCCTCCATGCCTGCAGACAGACACTGGGAGACACTCAAGTCCCGGAGGGAGAGCGGAGTGTTGCAACAATGGGAGAAGGGAGGCGCCAGCGGAGCCTGGGACCCACGGATCTCCCGGAGGAGCCGCCAGGTTCTCCCAGCCGTCTGCTCTGAAACGTGCTTGCCTTGCACAACAGGCAAAGAGCGCGTCCTTACCGGGCTTCTCACTATGGCTTATCTCCACGACTGGACGCTTCTGAGCAGCCCATCCTGAAAGAGCTTCTGGCACAGAGCTGACACTCCTGGAAGCATCACTTGCTGACAGAAAGAGGGTCAACCCCCTCGCGTGCCCTCCTGCCAACACGCTCCCTCGTGCAGGGGGCACAGCACTGCCAGCTAACTCGGGACGGGTCTGGGAGACTGTGTCACTAGGCTGCAGAATAACGTGATTCCATACAGGCAGATCCCTTGCTCCGTGGAAGCAATTCCTCTCAAAATGTTAATGCTAAGACATAAAGAATTAAAGGATCATCACGATGAAAAGAGAGATATAATCCTGCATGTAGCAGTTTTAGTACTTGCCACCCACACAGAAGTACTTAACTCTGTAAGTGTGTTTGAACTCTGATCTTCATGTTTGGATAGAACATCTTTTTTTACATCCCATCCACCATATCTTATTGTGCACATCTAAAACTAGTTTTTTTTTTTTCACAGATAGCATGCTGAGGTATTAAAAAGATGGGGAAAATATTTCTAATGACTGTGTTTTTCAAGAAGCATAGGCTGACTCCCAACAGTGAAGTCACGACAGATACTGCTGTACATCTCACATAAAAACTACACAAGAAATTTTCATCACTAATCATATAATTTTTTCCTGACCAATGAAGAACTGTTGTCTGTGTGTTCTACATTTGCTGTACACAACAGTAGACTGACTTAATGCACAATTTCCTAATCATTTCAGTAAGCCTACCAGAGGAACAGGTAACTATTTTACCGTGCAAGTTTCATGAAATCTGCTAAATAACAGAGTACACAAATATTACAAATACATCAGTAGTATTTGTTTTATTTATGTTCTTGAAAGGAGTTTTCATAGTATTTCCAAGGATAATGCAGTGTTTTAAAGATTAATGAGTAAAAAATTTACCTTTTTCCAGTACATATTAAAAATCTTTGCTAAATCTCATTGAGGGATTCCAGGAAGTTTTAATATGTCTTATCTTAACAAAATCGTCTTAACTATTTCCCAATTTTAGAATTCCAGAAATGGAATTTAATTGGCAAAAATATTTTTAAATTACTTAGTTTAAAAAGTGTCCACAGGTACCTTTATTTTTCATAAAGAATTAACTACCAAATGGTTAAGATTTTGCATTCAGAGACAGCGGTAATAAAAAGCTCAAGAATTCTGAGTCCTGGTTGTGTATTTAAAATTCTCAGCTAACAAGCAGGAGGGAGGTTGCTAGGAATGCTTACAGATGTCTGATTTTACAAGGTTTGGGGGGGAGATTTTGGGGGTAAAGTGCTTTAGTCTAATGTTATTTATTGTTTATGGAAGTTGTTTGTCATTTAAGACATGAAGCGACCACTCCCCCAAATGAACGAATCAAGTTACAATCCATTATTTCATTTTTGATTGTTTTTCTTTGTAATAGGTGGGAAAGTGGATCCTGGATAAAAGTCCTGCCCAAGACAAGACTCCAAACTGAAGACTCCAATTATCTATAAATCACTTGTATTTCCTGCAGAGAAAGAGAAAAGGGAGGGAGGAGAGACACAGACAGAAAAACAGAGACAGAGGATATGCCAAATAAAATATTCGATACCTGTCCTAAACCCAATTTCTCTCAAGAGCAGCCAGAAGTTACCTGATATCTCGAAACCAAGTCTCGAAGAAATGTTTTGTTGTTGTTACTGGTTTAATATTGAAATAAAATAACTTTCCTTTATTTGTTTCATTAATATAAAACGTGTGACATCTCACACATTTCTGAGATGATGGCAGTACATATTCTGCTTTATTAAACGTTAGAATCCAGCCTACATTCAAACAAACAGGGAGATATGGTCACTAATGACTGTGTTATATTTTTTTAAAGATTTTTAGAATCGTTTCTCTAGTTTTAAAACTGAGAAATGCAAGTACACTTACTGTGCAAACTGTGATGCTAGCAAATATCATTCACTGAATACTCCTGAAGCATATTTTATAATGAAAACAGCAACAAACAAAATTCATGCCAGGTACTATTTGCACAGTATTGTTGCTCCCAAAGTATAACAGCACACAACATCAAATAACCACCTACTTTATTTATTTAAGCTATCTTCAAATAAATTATATGCAAGACATCATATGTATCTTTTCATTTGCATATCTCAGTTCTCATTAAAAGGTAAGAAAATCTAAAATAGTTGAGTTTCTTCTGAAACATTCTTCTATAGCATGGAATAGCTGTAACAAATTAGAGGACAAATTAGTTTTGGCACCCACTTAAAAAAGAGAAAAGATGAAAAGCTTTTAAAGTGATGATATGGAGGAAAATATTACACTGCATTGGCCAAAATGAGTTTCCTATCAGCTCTAAAGCTCCTGAAGTTGTATTTCCAGTAGATAAAAATGTTATCACCTTTTTCCAGTGTTGATGTGCTTTATTTTCCTATTGTTACTCAGTAATTAGAAACGAAGTCTGACACAGTGTAATCTGTTCATACAATACATTTGAAACTTCTCCAACAGAAATAAGCACGTTCCTCAGTTACAGATACTAAAGATGCAAAGACTCAGAACATAAAAAAGAATTTAAAAATTCAAATTGCATTTACAAACAAGTAACTGTTCTTAAAGCCCATTTTAGTCTACAAAAACACTTCAGTCCTGTAATACACCACAGAAATCCGGCAGATTTTTCTACACAGACCCAATAGGATGATTCTTAACGCTTCCTTTAAGAAAATAAGTCTTAAAGGTTAGTAGGAAAACATATGCCCTCTTACACTGTCGTTCAAGGGTATATTCAAATATCAAGGAAGTTAGTAAAGAGACCTGTTCCAGAGCTACAACAACAACCTGGTAGTATTAAGAGTCCTCCAGGAATTGTAAAAGAGTCCCTTGGGCACACAAGGTAATTCAAGAAAGAAAATATTTTTATTTTCTGATTGAGAAATACAGGTATGTCTAGTAACTCCCTCTAATCTATATCAAAAGCAATTGAAGCATATTAGGGAACTACTGATTTTGCACTGAAAATAAAGCCAACAGCTCTGTAGAAAGTAACACATTTAAAGAGCAGGAAAGTGACAAAGTCAGACTCAGCAAATCTCATTTGCTTTTCTCCTATCCTAGGGTTTTTCAGATGATTACAGGGCTAAAACGATCCGTTTCCTTTATTACAGGCAGTTTTGTTTCTCTGCACTCAAGTTGGTTAGGGCAGATCGGACCTGATTTTAAGCAAAATCCCTCCTCTGTAGGG